AGCAAGGATTACAGACATCAGCCACCAGAACCCCATTGTGTGAATTTTTAATGTCAATATTTTTCTGATTACAGAATAATACATGGCTTTCAAAAATGATAAGTGACTAGGAGAGGAAAAAAGTCAGAAAAGAACAAGTATGAAAGTAATAATTATCTAAACTATCACTAAAAAGCTTCTGACTGATAACAGCTTTTTCTTATTTTCATTACAAAATTAGTACATAACAGTAACAAATGACTCTTTCTTTGATAATTGTCTTTTCCCAGTGTGATTGTGACAGCCAGGACACAATTAAACCTTCTATCCACTTTTCTTTATATCCATAGACAGGATTGTTTGTAGGTCTTTATTCTGTTTCCTTGTATTTTACAGAAGGGCTGAGGCTGTATTCCTTTGTGACATGTTTTCTTCCCCTAAGTTAAGGATATATTTCTGGAAAAGTCTATAGATTTCCAGATATATGTCCACCTATGTATCATCTCTATGTGACTATACATGCACACTTTTTTATACAGCTGCACAGTATTTCTTGGATAGCAGATTACATATAGAAACAACACAGGTAGACATGTCAAGAAATGAAGTTTATCTTTCCACCTTGTCTTTCCCCCCATGTCTGGAGTGGCAAGGGAAAAAGAGGTCTCACCTCAGCCTTTCAGTGTCATCCATACTCTGAAATCACTGATCCTGCCTTAGAGAGAATGCATAGTTCTTCAGAGATCCCTGCCTCCCTTTGGTGACCTGACCCCATACCCTGCTGGACAGCTGCAAGGCTCTTTCCATGATGATGTGGTGTGCACAAATCTCCTCACTATCATTATTCCTTAGACCAAGTGCCCCTACACACTGTGGGGTTGTGTGCGTGCCCGTGCAAGTGCACAGGCTACGGATCACAGAGCAACGCTCTGCTGGTGCCTGGCAGAGCACCATCCTTTCCTATAGCATACTCTTGCCTGGGAGGGGAAGGCAGTCATCTGCCCTCTCTGTCATGGTCTTGTAGCTCTGAGTCTCAAGGGCTTAATTCACCTCCAGCCTTTTGCCCAAACAGGCTTATACACACCCAGGAGATCTGGCCCAAAGGCCTCCCCAGGAACACATGGGGACTTCCAGGTCCCTGATCTTATGGACACAGATCCCTCTTTCTCTTTTCTACTCCATTTTCTCTCCCTCCCTTCCCTTCCCCCATCCCTTTCTTCCTCCCAACTCCCCTCTCCCGCCTCCCTCTTACCCTCCTTTCCTCTAGCTCCTGATTCTCTCTTCCATGCTCGTCCTCCCTTTCCTGAATATCTTCTTAAACTCCCCCGTACTCCTGACTTCTGATTAGATTCTTCTCAGTCTCCTCCACAGTCCAAGAGAGGATCCAGTATAACCCTCGTCTAGACCTTTATTTTCTCCATCCTCCTCCCTTGACATTTCTCTTGACCAGTGTCATAGCCTTAAGGGCACACAGGTCCTCTCCTGTCTCCTCCCCCTTGAAACATCCAGGCTTTCCATTTTTCATCATCAAATCTTGAGCCCCACCTCTGGCCCTTGGAAGATAGGAGCATTATTTGATGTGGCTTCTGATTTCAGGTCTCCCTTCAAAGGCCCTTGAAATGCTAATAGAGCTGTTGGAATTCTAAAAATTGCTTACTTGCTCCCTCTGTCTCCACCAAGCCTTGATTTCTTAGACTTGTATTGTGGCTGTGGAGGTCAGGAAAGGTGAACACCGCACTGAGACTGGGACCTGATCTGTGGTTTCTTTGATCCACATGTTAAGTCAGCTTTAAAGGAAAAGCTGCAGAGGCAATGTGATTCAGGAAGGAAGGAGTAAACATTTTAAATGCCTGCTCATTACAATGCAATGTGGCTGGAGTTTTCGCCACTGTTCCCTTATGGGTGATGTTTAGACTTGACTATCACAAATAAACGCAGGAGGTAAAGCCTTTTGTAGATCATTTTTATTTACTAGAACTCGTAATTTTTTGTAGGGGAAAAAAAATCCTAAAATGTGGTTCAAAGGGCACGTGTGCTGGTACAGCTGCCTTTTGCAATTCGCACCCCCCAACCCTCAGTGTTGGAAGTGCCCGTTTCCATTTCCACACGTCTCACCACCGCTGGCTGGTTGAGATTCGCTTCAAGTGTTGCAAATCTCATTGGAGATTTATGTAACATAAAAGTCGGTTTCATTTTGTGCTTCTTTGACCGCCTGAGAGGTGGCAGGTGGTTCATTTCTTCATATCCTGTATAGCTGTTCCTATTTCCTTCTTTCCACAAGTCCTCTCAGGCTGTTGTTCTTTCCAATTATCGATTGTGTGAAGCTCTTTGTACACTAGGAAATCCTTTAATCAGATAGGATGGGAATTGGTCCTGAGCTCGTTTTGTTACTTCATAAATATTATATCTGTTTCATGCCATAAGAAAGCATACTAGAAGGAAAAAGAATAAAAAGTGTGAGTTTTTACTAAAAGAATTAAGAATCTAACTAATTGCATAATTATACTATTCTCGTAGATGGGCATTGGTTTGTTTTCTGTTATTAGAATGCGACCCCTGAGGCTGTGTAATTTATAAAGACAAGAGGTATTTAACACATAGTTCTGGAGGTGTATGAACAGTATCAGGATCCTGCCCAGCCCTGGTAAGAACCCCTGGCTACATTACAACATGGTGGCATCATGATAGGAGAATGTACAGAGAAGAGAGAGAGCACATGGCAAGACAAGGAAGCAAGAGAGATTTAAAAGCCAGACTTTCTCCTTTTTGTGTTTGTCAGTATCTGGGTTTGAACTCAGGGCCTCATACTTGCTCAGCTTGCTTGCTTATAGCTGGCACTGCACCACTTGAGCCATACCTCCAGCCTGGCATTCTGCTGATTAATTGAAGATGAAGTCTTGCAGACTTTTCTGCCCAGGCTGGCCTCAACAACCATTCTCCTGATGTCACCATTATAGGCACCATTTTGCTGATGCCTATAATCCTAGTCACTCAAGAGGAGGATCTGGAGTATCTTAGTTCAAAGTTAGTCTGGGCAGAAAAGCCTATGAGACTCCATCTACAAAATAACCAGAAGAAAAAAAAGACTGACTGGAGGTATGATAGAGTGCCAATTGAGCACACAAACCAAGAGGGCACAAAGCCCTGAGTTTAAATCCCAGCAAAGAAAGAAAAAAAGGAAGAAAGAAACGAGGGAAGGAGGGAGGGAGGGAGGCAGGAAAGAAGAAGGAAGGAAGGGAGGGAAGGGAAAGGTATCTAGGAGTAGGGAAGATCAATGTATTTGTTAATTAAATGTTTTACTTTGAAATAATTAAAGTATCATATACAGCTCTTAAGAAATTAGCGTACGTGTTACCCAGTCTCTCCCAATGAGGGCATCTTTCAGATCTCCAGTGCAGTTTTAACAATCAGGATATTGAGGTTATCCACCAAGCATCCCTGTGTTATACCCATCATCACCCAACTCCATTCTTAATCCCAGCGACTGTGAATGTATAATTTTATGTAAGTGAGAGCCATGGCCAGGGCACCTGGCCTGTAGTGCTGCCTGTAGTGCTTGCAGGGTGTGGCACCAGCCCAGCCTGCCAGAGCTGCAACCCCAGCCTCAATGAAGGTACAGGAGGACTATTGTACAGGGCAACTCCTGTGCTCCCTGGGATTAAAGTGCAAGCCAGACATTCATCCTTTCCTTAGTGTTGGCCCATAGCCTTGCCCCTCCTTGTCATTTTGTTCCTGAGTCAGTCATATTTTTAAATCCATGTCAATTTCTTTACATTTCTAGATGGGAGGAGCGTTCACTCTCTGAAGCACTTCAGCCTTCCAAATCTTTTATATAACTCATTCCGGATGTATTCTGGACTCACCATACAATATGGTACAAGGAGAGTCTCCTCTTTATTTCCAGAAATGGTTATACTTTTTTCTGAATTTAGGTTTCCTGAAAAATGTAGCCAGAACACATTGCAAGTTTTGCTGGCAGTCAAGAGCCGGAGAGAAAACTGGGTGGCAGCAGGCAGCAGAGTTGCACACCTGATCTGAATATGGCCTTCCTGCCACAGCTAGGAAGGAGCTGAGAGATCAGATGTCTGAATGAAGGCCCATTTCTGAGAAATCCACTTTTCTCTTAAAGCCCTCAGGACAACTCGGGAAACCCTCCGGGGTGGTACTTATCTCAGAATGCCCTTTCTTTATAATACTGAGTAATATACTACCGTATGCATAAACCATATTGGGTTGATCATCCATCAGTGGTAATGTGTGCTTTTTCCACCTGCGGCCTATTGTAAGTAATTAGATTATGAAAATGGTTTTACAAATATCTATTCAAGCCTAACTTTTTGTTCTTTTAGGTTTGCATACCTAGAAGTTAGACTGCTAGACCATACATGGTGGGGGGGGGAGGGGGGGTTCGGCCAGTTGTGGGGCTTGAACTGAGTACCCAGGTACTGTCCTTGAGCTTTTTTGCTCAAGGCTACTGCTCTACCTGCTCTGAGCCACAGCTCCACTTCTGGTTTTCTGGTGGTTAATTGGAGATAAGAGTCTCAGACTTCTCTGCTTGGCCTGGCTTTGAACTGCCAATCCTCAGATATCGACCTCCTGAGTAGCTAGGATTACAGGTGTGAGCCTGGCAATTTGCTGTTGTTGCTGCTATTGTTGTTGTTCTGGTGATGGTAGTGTTTTGCCAGTCATGGGGCTTGAACTCAGGGCCTGAGCACTGTCCCTGAGCTTCCTTTGCTCAAGGCTAGTGCTCTACCACTTGAGCCACAGTGCTATTTCCAGCTTTTTCTGTTTATGTGGTACTGAGGAGTTGAACCCTGAGTTTCATGCATGCTAAGCAAGCACTCTACCACTGAGCCACATTCCCAACCTTTGGTGTTTGTTTTTTAAACTACAAGAACAGAACGACTGCTTTCCACAGCAGCTGCGTCATGTTATTCTAGTCCCTCCAGTGACACACATAGAGTTACAGTTTCCCTGCAGTATCCCCACCATATGAACTGTGCCCCTCTTTACTTTTCCAGAGTTCTCAGGGGCCGCTCACCTGCCCGCCTTCACTGAGCACCAATGGGACATTTCCAGCAGCGACCGCGCCCTGCCTACCCGGCTGCCTGACTGCCATTCACCTCTACAGAATCCAGAGGTATGTCCTCACCCCTTCTCCCCTCCCGCTCGACCCGACCCCGTACTCCTCTGGCTGAGAGGTCCTGGGGACAGTGCTAGAAGAATGGACTCATTCAACATCTGCAAGCACAGAGCTGGAGGCAGAAAACCAGAATGTCACCCCCAAACACCAAAACTGATCAGAAAATTAAGAAATGTTTCTTAATTTGCCCTGGAAAGTGAGTTTAGAATAATAAACACCTGTAATCCTAGCTACTCAAAAGGCTGAGATCTGAGGATCACAGTTCAAAGCCAGCCCAGGCAGGAGAGGCCATGAGACTCCTATCTCCAGTAAAGTACTCAGAAAAAGTCAGAAGTAGAGCTGTGGCACAAGTGGTAGAATGCTACCACTTGAGCAAAAGAAGATCAGGAATGGCACTCAGGCCCAGAGTTCCCCGCCCTAGGACAGGCAAAAAACAAAAAACACTAATTCTTTTCTATTTTTAAAGTTTCTTGTTAGTAACCATCCAAAAATACAATCTCCATCCAGGTGACATCCTAATATAATGATTCTTTTGCCATACAAATATCTTGGAACAAAATTTTTTATTTGGGCTGGGAAGGTGGCTCAGTGGTAGAGCGTTTGTCTTGCATGCAGGAGGCCCTGGGTTCAATTCCTCAGCACCACATAAGCAAAAAGAAAAAAGCCGGAAGTGGAGCTGTGGCTCAAGTGGTAGAGCACTAGCCTTGAGCTGAAGAGCTGAGGGACAGCTCCCAGGCCCAGGGTTCAGGCTCCATGAACAGACCCCCCCAAAAAAACCCACAAAAAAAGCATATAAAGCAAAATTTTTTATTTACCTTGATGCATTGTTTTGATTATGACAAAACTTTAAAGCTAAAAAAAAAATTGAGAGCATAGAACTGTGAAAGCTCAAGTATTTGTTATTTCCCAGATATCCACATGTACACACACACACACACACACACACACACACACACACACACACACACACACACATTTTGTAAATATGTATTGATGCTACATGCATGTGTTTGTTCAATTATTTTTATCAGAAGCATCTGAAAGGAAGTTGCAGACATCATGATATTCTTTGGCAAGGATCTCCTCTACAGAACTAGAACACATATCACCATGAAATTTAACACTAGTAAAGGAATATTGTCTAAAATATTGTACCAATTCAGATTCCCTTCATTGTTCTGAAAATATTAATCGTAGCTATTTTTCTTGTCTATTATTCAACTTAGTGTCATTTACTGAATTTAATTCTGTCTTTTTCATTTTAAACCAAAATACAGAACTCTGCTTTTGTTTGTGTTTTTTGTTTGTTTGTTTGCAGTTCTGGATATCAGATCCAGGACCTTATGCATGCTACGCAAGCATTCTACCACTGAGCTACATTTCCAGCCCCATTGAAATTTTTGAAGACTCTAAAAACTTTAAGAATCTAGGTCAGTTATTTTGTACAACATTTCACCATCTAGATTTCTTTTATTGTTTCCTCAGTTTTGAATAAAAATGTCTTACATTTAGCTAAACAGCATATCTGTAGCATACTATAGTATATAACCTTTTATTTATAATTTATTTTCTTGGCTAAAGTAGTTTCTACCTGAGCTTCCCTGTAGCAAACTCCCTTTTTATTCTCTATAATTAATAAGTAATTAATTGGTAAAGCCAACTTTGAGACACTGAATATTTTCTTCCAGAACTAGTCATCATCAAGTGGTTTTAGCATCCCTTCTTGGTTAGATTGTACTTTTTAGCTCATAGATAATCAGAACAGCAGACTTTCTTTCCTATCACACAGTCCTTCATATTTTACATTGTCTCAGCTGTGACATCACCACACAAGGGAGTGTACTGAGACAGAGAAAGGAGTCTGAAATCAGACTGTCTTCATATGTACACACCAGCTCGATGACCTTCAGCAAGCACCTCCAATCACAATCCCTCAGAGTCCTCATAAAATTCAAGAGACTAAAAATGACCACTGCCTGACACACTGCTGTAGGGTGTGGAGCCTGTGACTAGCTCTTCTAAGTTCTGGCTGTGAATTATCAGGGGCTGAGAGGATGGGCTGAGGAATAACTGGATGGCTGATCTCTTATGAGACCTGTGTAGAAATCATCTCACCTCATGGTGGCTAGGAAGCAAAGAGACAGGAAGGCTGGGATCCAAATGCCCTTCAAAACCACTCTGCCAACGACTTAACTTCTTCCCAATGGGCCCTACCTCTTAAAGGTTCTACCACTTCCCTTCCCTCTGTCCATCACAGACAAATAAGGGCTTGTCCCTCCCATACACCCTTAGTTATCAAGAAATGACTGTGAGATTAATTTGCAGTGAGTAGAGCCATGTCCCCTAAGGGCAGTCCTGAAAGCTGTCATTCAGAATTATAGGTCTGCTTTCCCTTGCTTTCTTGCAGCAGGTTACATAGAGTTAAACATGCTTATGCCTACCAAGGGCCTCCTCCCAGGCATTCTAGATTGATTGGCTGGAGAATGAGACTAGCCTTTCTGTGGCCCTGTGCCACTGGACACCTGAGCTAAGCAACATATCTTGTTCATATCTGCCTCATCCTAGCTGATCTCTCCCATTCTGTCCTTGTGGGTTCTCCTGACCTTTCTAGACTGACTGCAGCCTGTTCTTCTGGAGCGCAAGGGAACTTAGGAGAGCTTCAGGTGCTGCATAAGTAGCTGACTGAGCCCCTGTGACCCCAGACATTCCCTGATCTAACCTGAGTCCCTACCTGTACATTGAAGTTGAGGCCAAACATATACATCATAAATTTAAATAGAAACCCATTTGTCATTTTCAGTATGCCATAAATAATAGCATTTCAACATAGAGTTGTTCTGCTCATTTTTAAATAAATAGACAATAATATATATATATATATATATATATATATATATATATTATCCCTTTCATTCTATTTAAAACACATGGCCAGCCAGGTTCTTCCCATACCTTAAAAATGTACACCTTTTTGTTCACTCCTTAATTTTGTATTTCTATTCCATATCCCTATTTTAGTTTATGTTGTGTTGCTATGACAAAATAACCTGAGGCTGAATACTTTGAGGCATAAAGAAGTTCACTTGGGTTGTGATTCTGGTAGCTGGAGGACTCAAACCACATGGTACCAGCATCATCCTAGCAAGCCTCCACCATGTCTTAGCAAGCCCCACACCCAGCTGTATTACCATATGACAGGGAAGCAGAAAGGAGCAATTATGTTGGGTGTCTTTGCTTTATAACAACCTACTCTCAGCACTAATCCACTCTTCAAGACCAGAATCAATCCTTGCCAAGGGGCATTCCCTCCTGACCCAAGTACCTCCCACCAGGTCCCCCCTTTACACGTTCGCCCACCCCAGCACCGCCAACTGGGGACCAAGTTTCCAGCACATAAGCCCTTGGGAGATACCCTCTAACCATCACAAAAACACTGCCTTACAAGGAGATACCCTCTAACCATCACAAAAACACTGCCTTACAACCTCATTGTAATTTTGTGCTTAAAATTCACTTGCTGTTCACTTTGTCACATTCTTTGCTTGTGTGTGTGTGTGTGTGTGTGTGTAGCACACAGGGACACTGCCCAAGCTGAGTTCAAGCCCCAAGACTGACGAAAAAAAATAAAAGGATCTCTTAATAAGATGAACTATAGGAGGCTTCATATAGAGACCTGACCTGAGGAATGGCAGGACTCTGCCTTTGGGCAGAGCTGGGAGATTTCCCACATTGGAGCAGTCCTTAGGAAAGACAGCTTCCCCACAAATGTGTTTCAGGAAAGAATGTATAGACAATCGGGGAATTTTACAGTCTATGACTTATAAGCCTCCCATGCCTGTCACCTTGAACTAATTGTGTCTGTCCCCAGGAGGCTCAAGATTCAGCTGATGGCCACTGCCCTAAGCTCTCCCTTCTTGGACTCAACTCCATCACCGCAGTAACCTAAAGCCATGCCCTGCCCCCTCCCACTGCTGCTCCTCTTTGGGCCCACTCTATGGATCCCCAATTCCCTCTGAGGCTTTCACTGGAGTTATGGTATCTTCCAGGATGTAGCAGTTCCTTGTGGTCCTGCCCAAGAGTCCATGTAGTTTCTCTGGGGAGTTCAAAGACAGCATTTGGTTTTTGATGCTTTGAAGTATATAATGGTCACACTCTGAATGTCTCTCTTCTGGAAACAACATATACATGGACTTTGTCTTCACTTTCTTCTGCAGAGCTCTGGAAGTGAGTTTGCAGACATAGTTAAGAAAGTCCTGGTAGTGAGGACTTATCTTTGGAGTCTTGGCATGCAGCCTTGGAAAGAGACACAGTCTTGCCATAAGAGAGCATAAGTAGACATTCACACAAGGCTTGACACATATACCCCAGGGCAGGTCTCAAATCTTCTGGAATGAGACAGCCCTTCCATTCACATAGACACACATCTCCATGCATGAGTGGATGAACTGGCTAGTTAAGATGAACTAGTGAACCTCGTCCTTGTGCCCCTGAGAATCCCTAAGGAGCACCTTCAGTTTTTCAAGATTATATGAGCAGATGAAGCTTATAAACAATTGACTTCCAAATTAATTTTAATTCCTGTTGCAATCATTGTTTGGCTGTGCAAATTCCCTCTGTATGCTGTGGGCATTTCTAGAACAAGCAGAAGCTCTCAGATAAAAATCATGTATTAGCATGTACCAAACTTTATTTCATTCATTCATTCAGAAGGGAACCAACAAGAAGGCAAATTGTCTGTCACTAAGAACATTTGAGTAACTGGGATTTATAGTCAGTTGGGAAAGAAATAGAGAAATGAGGTGCTAAATTAAATTACATCCGCATGAAGCAATAAAAATGGTAACATATTTGGGCTCAGCTTTTTAGTAGGCAATAAGAATCATAATAAATTAGGTTCTGCAGGCTAACCTCTAACCTTAGAGGATGATAACTCTTTGCATGTTTGTCAACTATGAATTGTTCGATATTTATGATGAGTCTCAAGAGTATCAGCATAA